GGTATATGAAAAACTTCAAAAAGCATGGCCGGGCACGGGAGAAAGCCCATCTGTTGAGTTAAGGTAGAAGTTTCATCACAGATTCCACCTGCTGTTGCCAAGTTAGAAAAGCCATATTGCATGGATACTTTTTCTTGCACCCTTTGGCTTTACGGAAATAATTTAAAAATTTATTCTATTACTTAGTCCCTTAATAGTAAATCACTAGGATAATTTTCTCAGCAATTGCTATGTCAGAGTAAAGCGATATGCCGAAAAAGAGATGTTTATTTCTAATACATGGGTGCTTTAACATAGCACAGGATGGTGATGACTAAGATTTGCATGGCGAATGTATTCTGTCGAAATGGCAACATGGAGTCCTTTTGCCGTATTGGCTGAGCAACCTAGTTTAAGGGGAAAAATAGCATTACTGGTTTTGTGTATTCCGGTAATTGATGAAATGTGTTAACAGATAGCTTATGGTTTCTTTTACTGCTGTAGCCCCAAATAGAGCGTGCCAGGCCATTTACGTAGATTTCCAGGATATTTTTTGACAAAGTTCTGTACCAAAGGAATTAAAAGGAAGCGTGTGTGTGTGTGTGTGTGTGTGTGTGTGTGTGTATGAGTCATAACAACAGGAAAGACATTGAGCTCGTGTACGGTAAGGGGGCCTGGCTGTGCGACAGGGGACAATAGATAAAATCGGCAGCTGGCAGCAAGTGGGCATATTCCTCAGCAGTATTCTTCAAGGATGAGCACGAGGAATAATTTTATTGCATCGTTGAAAAATATTTGAGAGAGAACATGCATGATAAAATCGAGTCTGTGTCCAAGTAAGCCGTGAGTTTTAAACCCAATAGGAACGCACGTGTTTAAACTGTGTTCTTCCAAATCTTGAACTGGGACGCTCAGACTGAGAGAAGGAGAGTTTTAGGACTCGGGCGCAGGTAGTGGTTAGGGCGATGGTTGGAAGGGTACGTGGTGTGGGCTGAACGGGCCACGGGCAGCTGCTGTCACCAGGTCAGGAGTAAGCTACGAGCAAATGAGAAAGACACTCTAGGAAATGAAGAGGTGAGGAAACCAAGGCTTGGCCCCACACATGATGAAGATGAGCAGTTTTTGGAGTATCATGGAATTGGAAAAGGTACTTGGAGGGCCTATATGAGGAAGAAGAATAAGAAACAGGTCTTAAGTTCCAGGGCCCTATGCCCTACTTTCTGTTCACGTGTTCCATTTTATCTTATATATGTATGTTCATATATATGTGAATTTCATAGAAGAATCAAGATTTTGTTTGGGGGGAAGCAAAAGGATTCTATTGCTTAAAAGTGTTTTTTATTTTAAATCTCTGGCCTAGATACCTAGCTTAGGGCCAGCCCCGTAGTTCTGAAAAGCTAACTTGGCAAAAATCATGCAAGATGGACTCTGAAATGAACGTGGTCTTCGCCAGAGAGGAAAAAGGATCATTCTGTTCTAAAATTCATTCAGTTTCTTTCACTGAAATTTGAAGTTCTTATAAGATGAAGCATCATTTTATATAATTTTAGTAAAAAGACTAAAATTAATATCTAATTACCTATTAACAACTTTTAGGGGATTATCAAAGTTGTTTGTTTTTTTCTTTCAGAGTTGGTAGGAACATTGCTTGTGAAATTTTACTCTAATTTTTTTAGGTTTCACTTTTAAAGGTCTTAGACAAGTTCTTTTAGAAATGAGTTTTTAAAGAGAAATAACAACCATATTTGACATATTCCTTCCAACAAATTATATGAAAGAAAGAAAACATTCCCCAAATGGGTAGCAAATGACAAGACAGACTCTCAGGGCACACTTGATACCAACAGGGTGCAATGACAGGAAGGGCACAAGAGGCCTTGAGAATGAGGTTAAGCCAACTCGAGTTTAAGAAAAGCAATTTATTGGACCAAAAGAATCTTTCACTTAAGGTTATTTCCCAAGAAATTAGTCATTTATTTTCATCCTTATGAACTGAGTTCCAACTTAGTAGGAGCAGGGAAAGCTATTTCTCTGACATCTAAGAAGAAAAACTGTGGCTCTGCTCTCCAGGCTTGCGCTTTATTTTTTCCACATTAATCTGCTTTTGAAAGCTGACATGAAATCAAAATAAAATTGGGAAAGTGGCTTAAGAAAAAGGTTCTTTTTTTTTTTCCTTTACAGTTCTTTGGCTTCATCTCTTCTGGATAGTATTCCTTCTATTTTTACCCCACATTTTATTCTATATCCAATATAGATTTTTATTTTATTCTATATCTAATATCTATTTTATTCTATATCTAATAATGTATTTTAAATATTGGCTTGTCTTTGGTTTTGAATTCCTTCTAATCATGTGCCAATTTTTGGAGGTAAATATAAAACATTAAAAATGGAGACTGATTCCAATGTTAAGGCATATTGTGGAAATTATTAGCCATTTTAATATATGCATGTTTATATAATTTTTGGCCTGGCTTTAATCTTGTACTAAATAATTTTTAAATAATTCTTAGCTCGATAAGATTTAATTTTACAGTTTTATATCAGATTATATAAATTCTTAGCATTCCTTAGAACAAAGTTATATAAAATGATTCCATAGAAAACTTCTTTAAATAATTAAGGTAATTGGTTTCTAATAAGTAATGCATATATTTTATTGTTCTGAAACTATTTCTATGTTAAATGGTCAATTATAAACCTATGTCTGCATTAAGCAGAGATATTACTCACATAAACTTACCTTCAATATTAAAAAGAAAATTTAAGTTAAAGGCAGAGCATACCTCAATTTCCTGTTTCACACCTACAAACTTACCTGTGATCACATTCCTCCTAAATATCTTCCCTCTGGCCTTTGAGTATTTGTTCTCCTGGCCAGTCCTACCCTTTGTACTGATGATCCCATTTTGTCTCCTCCAGATGCTGGAAATTCTGACATTGCCTAATCCCTCTAACTTCTGCATATTCAATCCTAATCTCTCTTTGCCCCCTGCTCATTTCCTAATGCCCTGTCCGTTGCTCACACCTGCCATATCCATCATATAACCACCATATCCATGAGGATTAGTGTTCTCTGCCCCTTGCTCTCCAGCCACTGCCACTTGGCTCTTGACTTCAAAACTTCAGAGTCTCGTCCATCAGTAATCTCAGGGATTTCCAAATGTCCACATCCCAGGGATGCTATTCAGCCCTCCAGTTACTTAACCTCTCCAAGGCATATTACATTAATAGTAATAGTGACATCCCCATTCCCTTAAAATATCCCCTTCTCTGGTTTCTGTTTCTATGACCTTATCTTCTCCCCCCCCCCTCCCGCCTCCATGATGACTCCTCCTCTCATGCATAGGTTTTTTTCTTTCTGGCCAATCCATTTCTTATAACTTTTAAAGTAACACAAGAATGTATGTTCACTGAAAAAAAATAGAAGCTAAAGATGAACAGAAGAGAAAAATACCAACTGGAGCCTGCTGAAGGAGACCTCCATGAGCCCTCTTGGGGAATTAGAATTTGGCACTAGGAGACATTGAAATATTTTGAACCAGGGAGTCAGTGGGTCCCCTGGCTTTTTGGAAATTACTCTGGTGTGAGAATGGGTGGGAACAGAGCTAGAAGATGAGTTAGATGGTAGTTCAGGGAGAGGGAATGGTGGTTGCAACTGCAGATGGAGAGAGATGAGTGTATTTAAGAAATAATTGAGAGGTAAAAGCAATAGGACTTGGTGACTTTTTAGATGTGAAGAATGAGGAAGAGGGAAGGGAGATGATGCTGGAACGTCTGGCTTGGACACAGGATTTATGGGTGATGGAAGGAGTCTGCTTGTGGAGGGAAACGAGGATTCATTTGGGACACAATAGCTTTGAACATGTTAGAATACACAGAGATGCAGGATATGTATATACTTGATAGGCAAACATGTCCTTAAAGACACAGATTTGAGAGTCGTGGTCTGTGAAATAATGAGAGTGGATAACATTTCCTTTTGAGAGCCTGTAGAGAAAAAATGAGAAGGTTGAAGGACATACCATGATGTCCTGAGTCCCATCATGATGGACTAAGAAAGAGGATTCCACAAAAGAAGCATTTAGAGTATTAAAGGGGGAAAAATCCAAACCAACAAATCAGAAAAGGGTTGTTGAAGTCAAGAGAAGAGAGTATTTTAAGTGCAAGGGCATGACCAAAGGAACAAGTGCTACTGGAAAGTAAAATAAGACAGGAACCAAAAGTGTCCCCTGGGTGCATAGCAAAGTGAGGACATGGGGGTGACAAGTCAGGTCACTCCTTGAAAAGTCTGGCTGAGAAGGAGGAAGCGAGGATGGTAGCTGGAAAGGGAGGTGAAGGGAGGTTTGGTGGTTTCTCCTTTTGTTTCCCTGGTTTGTTTCTGTTGTGAGACAGAGAGACCGAGTATGTTTAAATGCTGAGTGGCAGCCAGAGCAGGAGAGAGGGCGGGGGGCACGGTGAAGATGCTGGAGGAGTGAGCTGCCCGAGGAGGCGGAGAGGGAGGCAGGAGAAGGCAGAGCACCAGAGCGAGGCGGCCGGTTTGGCCGGGAGGAGGACACCTCTTCCACGCGGCAGATGGGAAGGCGGAAATGATGGGCTCGCGGCGGGAATCCGTGTGTGTGGCGGCAGGGAGCTGGGCCATTTCCCTTTTCGTGATTTCTATTTTCCCAACCAAGTAGGAGGCAAAGACATATGCTGAGAGTGAGGGAGCTGAAGTGGTGGGCTAGGTAATTTGAGGCGAGGAGAGGAGGTTTTAAATAGCTGCTTTCGGAAAATGAAAGCTGATGACAGAGACACCTGGGCGGACTGCCGGGCAGCACAGAGGCCGCGGGTGAGGTTCGAGGTCAGGAAGGTGCGTGCTGTGGCCGCTCTGTGTGTGTGACCCGGGGGCCTGGCCGGGAGCCAGGATGTGAGCTGTGCAGCGGGCACGCTGGAAGGGCGAGGGCGAGCCGGGAGTTAAGCCTGGCGGTGGCCGTGGGGGCCGTGGGGGCCGTGGGGGCCGTGGGGGCCGTGGGGGCCGTGGGGGCCGTGGGGGCCGTGGCGCGCAGGCCGGGCGCTCGGGCTTGAAGACGGGTCAGCGCCTCTGTGTTCCTGGCCCGTCCTGCCTCCTCTGGAGCCTGCAGTTTCCGAAAGACGGCGATGAGAGGCCGAGATGGAGCCGTGGCCGGCGTCTACACGGTCCGGGCGCGAGAGTGGTCGCCGATGAACAAGGAGCAGAGGGAAGATGGAGGGAACTGGGAGGTCAAGGTCTGAGGCTAGAGGAGAGGCTATTGCTTGGGTCGAAATGTTTTTTGTCTTATTTCCTGTAGGGATGAGATGTCCCTTTGAGTCACAATTTTATGCACACTTCAGAAAAACGTACTGAGTAGCTCGGTGTCGAGGAGGCTGCAGCTGCCCTGCTGCGCAGGAGACGGGGCTCGGGCCCTGCTCTGCCTGCCCGATGTGGGGAGATTCCAAAGGTCGCCGCAGACCTCGCCGGCTGCTGATGACCGATCCGCGCTGTGGATTTGCGCACTTTTGCACACGGCGACCCGTCCTGCGTGGAGCTGGCCTAAATTTGGAACTCAGTCCCTTTTACCCGTCTTCCCCACTCACTGCAGCCCACCGTGAAAAGAGCAAAGAAACCAAAAAAGAAACATTTATAAGGTCATTGTACGCAAAGCGAAAAAGAAAAAGAAGCAAAGGTTTGGAGGGACGGAAGGGAACATACGTGCAGCCATGCCAACAGCTGCCAAGCGGAGTGTTAGACGTGTCAGTTCTTGAAAAGCCCCGTGGCCATCTCTGAACGGGCTGTCATTCCCCTGGAAGCTGCTCACTTCGCCGTCTTTTCTCTTCTCTGCTGTCTGCAAAGGAAGGGAAGGTTCTCGTACGTCCTGCATCTCAGTGTTTCTGTTTTCTCCAGGCTGCACCTTCAGAGTCAGCTCCACGTCTTCTTGTATGTTGAAAACGTGGCCTAATCGTTACATTGAGTCCAGAGATGGGATGGCTCAGACCACAGCAGTGAAGGTGATGAGAAGGGGTCAGATTCTGGGTGTGTTTTGGAGGCAGAGCCAAGAGGTTTTGCTCGTGGCTTGGGTAAGGGCTGCAAGAGAAAGAGAGGCGTCAGGATACACCAAGGTTTCAGCCCGAGCACCTGCAGAGCTTGGTTGGCATTAACCGAGAAGGGGAGACTGCGGGGATTTGGGTTTGGGATGGAGGATCAGCTTTGTGCGTGTGAACTTTGAGGTGTCATTTTTATGTCCAAGTGGAGACGTCAGGTGGGCAGTTGAATGGTCTGGAGTTCTGCTCAGGGCTGGAGATTGAAATTTTCAAGGAGCCACAGTTAAATCTACCTAATTCTGCTCTGTTTGAGTGCTTTATATATACAACCTTTCCCCAAGAAATTTATTTCTAAATATTATCTCACAAAACTGATCTAACAATAAACCACAGACAACGACATAGACTTTCAATATCTTGACCAGGGGAGAAAACTCAAGCTCGGACACTGTATCCAGAGGTGATATCAAGAGGGCATGTTTCTTACAGTCTGGAGGAAACTTATGGATTATTCCAGATAGAGTAGTAGATTTAACTCTTAATCTAATTCTACTTTCTTCTGAAATCTCACATTACATCCAAATAAAATTTTTTTTAAAAAAAAGACTGACAGGGACAGGGAGAATTGGAGGATTGTAAAGGAGATAATAGCAACAAAAATTTGCAATTTTTCAAATGGAAGAGAGGCAACTGCATCGCTCTGTGGTCCCCAATGCCTGTGCTGTGGACCAGTCTCAGCCCATGGCCTGTTGGAACCAGGCAGCACAGCGGGAGGTGAGCAGGGGGCAAGAAGCGAAGCTTCGTCTGTATTTACAGCCACTCCCCATCACGCGCATCACCGCCTGAGCTCCGCCTCCTGCCAGATCCGCAGCCACATTAGGAGTGCGACTCCCACTGTAAACTGCGCGTGTGCGGGATCTAGGTGGCGGCTCCTTATGAGAACCTAATGTCTGATGGTGCTCTACTGAAGTTGGAGCTTTTGTGAGAAGAAAAGTGAGGGCTGCATCTCAGCCGGCTTCAGCCTGGTGTCTTCAAGGAGAGCAACTTGCGAGTGTCCCTGGGCCACCCAGACCACACTGCTGTAAAGTGCAAAGTCAACAAGCCCTGTGTGTGTGCACAGTTTCCCGTCACCCAACAAGTGACTGACATCTGAAGGACATCTTGAACTTGGAAGATAGAGACCCGAACAAATGAAAACGAACAAATACATCCTTGGAAGAAATAGAGTATAGCCAAGAGAAGGAATAAAATTATTACAATTAATACCCACAGTATGGTAGAAATGGCACTACATCCATGAATCCAGAGCTGGATTCATGAAAAAAAATTCAAGGAACACAAATTCAGTAGATGAGTTGGAAGATCTAAAGTTAAAGAAACCTCCCAGAAGTAGAGCCAAGAGATAAAGGCATGAAAGATAAGAAAATTAGAGAACCAGTGAAAAAGATCTATCTCAGAATATCAGTTCCAAAAAGAGTTGACTAAGAAAATGGAGAGAAGGAAATGAAATGAAACAACTCAAGAAAATTTCCCAGAACTGAAGTGCAGGAGTTGCCAGTGATAGGGCCCATCGAATGCCCTGTATAGAATGAATAAAAATAGACCTAGGATAGGATAGCATCATGAAATGTTAGAACAGAAGTATAAAGAAAAAAATATTTTTGTAATCTCTGAAAGAGACAGAGAGAGATAGAAGGGTATCACAACCAAACATCAAAAATAATCATTTTTAACTTTGGACTTCTTAACCATAACACTGGAAGCAGGAGGATAATGCAGTGGTGCCTTCAAAATTCTAAAGAAAAATTACTTCACGCCTAGAATTCTATACCCAGGCAAACAGTTAATCAAGGATGAGGGTAGACGTGTAAGTCTCGGGAGGTGGCCTCCCTCGTACATTTTTCAAGGAGCTACTGGAGGATATGATGATGCCATATCATCACTTAAACTATCAGGATGACTGCTGCTCAGCCCATCTGATGTTCTAATCCATGCTTGGTCTTGTGTTGACCGTGTATTGATGGCGTTCCTGTCGGCTCTATTTCCTAGATTATTTTGTCCCGTGGAAATGTCCTTTCACCTACTCTTAAGAGCTGGAGGAGAGCCACCGTGAAACCCAAAGCAGAAAGTGCAGAGCAGCCTGTTCCCTGTACTGTGTTTCTACAGGACCGCCAGGCCCCAGGCCACATCACAGCCTGCCAGAGGCCCTGGACACTGCGAAGCCCTGTCTCTCAGGGCCCACTCATGTCTCCAGAAAGGAGTCTTGTAACTCATCAAAGAAACAGACCTTGACGGGGACCCGGGCTCTGCTTTGGTGACCTTCCCTGGGTGCCTGTTGCCAGTCCTTGCACAAAGCTGCCCCATGTTACCCTCAGCCGCCACTGGTAGCCGCAACCTGACTTCTTCACGAGGGGGTCGCCATGCCAGCCAACACCAGGCACATTTTGTCACTTGGCACTTGTTGCTGGCATCAGGGTGAGCGTGCCATGCCTGGCGTGTTTTCTGCTGGAGTGACGATGGCTAGCAGCTTGAGAGTAGCTGCTGCAGGCCAGGTCTTGTCCTGGGAGCTTCACGCATGCAATGTTGACACCTTTTTGGAGGCATCACAGATAAAAGAAACAAGTGATTACCAGCGATGGCTCCCCATGCATGTTCCCCATGGCCTTGTCATCAGTTGCTCCTCTTCCTAGCTCATTGTTGCTGTTTTCAAGAGCAGTTACAGGCTGGGTGCAGATCCTTTCTTCTTATAGCAGTCAGTCAGGGCAAGAAATTAACTATAGTGATTAAAAATATTATCAGTCTATTTCACCTCTCTGTAGTCTTTTCCACATTCTTTTGCTTAAATTGAATTTTCTGACTTCAGCATTTCCCAACCCTATAGGAATAAAGAAGAGTACTTAAATTAAAAAGCATTTGAGTTTGGATTAATCTGGCAGACTGGAGTTTATAGAGTAGGGTATCTTTTGCAAGAGTAAGGTACAGTTGTTTTATTCAGTTACTCTAAAAACAGGAGATATGGATGAGCTCTGGTTTTTAAATAATATAAATTCATAAACATATAGTTTATCTTTACCTTTATGTGACTATTTAAAATTCTGACCACTTACCTATTCTTTCTACCTCTCCTATTTCCCAATGCAAACATATTCCAAATCTAATTCATTTATCTTATTTTTTAATTAACATTTACTTCATGCCTTTGTTTACCTATGGGGTCTGTCTTAGTCTGTTTTCCATTGCTAGAAAAGAATACCACAGACTGGGTGATTTGTAAGGAAAATAAATGTATTTCTCACAGTTCTGGAGGCTGGGAAGTCCAAGAGCACAGTGCCAGCATCTGGCAAGGATCAGCCCACAGCGGAAGGGGACCAGGTGGCAGCAAGCCCATGGGAGAGAGCAGATGGGGGCAAACTCATCTGTTTATCACGAGCCCCCTCCCTCTAGAACAACACTAATCCATTCATGCTGGCAGAGCCCTCATGACCTAATCACTTTTTTTTTTTTTTTGAGACAGGTCTTGCTTTGTCACCTGGGCCAGAGTACAGTGGCATCACCATAGCTCACTGTAACCTCAAACCCCTAGGCTCAAGCAACCCTCTTGCCTCAGCCTCCTGAGTGGCTGGGACTATAGGCGCTCACCACCACACCCCGCTAATTTTTCTATGTTTAGTAGAGACAGAGTCTCGTTTTTGCTCAATCTGGTCTTGAACTTCTGATCTCAAGCAATCCTCCAGCCTCCGCCTCCCAAAGTGCTAGGATGACAAGCTCAAGTCATTGCGCCGGCCCCTAATCACCTCTTAAACATCCCACCTCTCAATACTGTTAAATGGGAAATTTCAACATGAGTTTAGAAGGGGGAAAACATTCAAACCATAGCAGGGTCTTATGTTCTTCTGGACTAGAGACTGATTCAGGAGAAAATTCTAATTTGAGTAAGAATTTATCAATCTATTATGATGAACATGGAGAAATATTAGTTCTAATGCCCTGATTTTTGTTTTTACCCACTTAACAGGACACCACAAGCCTTCTAATACATTAATTTTCAATATAACTAGACTAAAATTGCTTATTTGAAGCAATCGAATTAGAAGAACCTTAACAGAGAAAAAATGAGCTGACAGCACATTTTAATGTCTCCACTCAACAGCAACCTCCAACTAAAGATAACAAGAGTAATAATAACCATCACTTATGAGCACGCAGCACAAGCACTTCATATTAAGTATCTCATTTAATGCCCTATCTACCTTATAGTCACTCCAGGTCACACACAATTAGGAAGAAGTAAAGTCAGGATTCCAACTCAGACTGTGTGAACTCAAAGCATGAATTCATAGTCTCTACACTGCGTGATCTATGGGAGCAGGTTTTTTCCCAGAGAATTAGCCTCAGCACTTTTATCTCTCTAAAGGCAAAATGTAATTTTAGTGGCGCACACCTGTAGTCCCAGCTACTCGGGAGGCTGAGGCAAGAGGATCACATGAGCCCAGGAGTTTGAGGCTGCAGTGAGCTATGATGATGCCACTGCACTCTAGCCTGGGTGACAGAGCGAGACTCTGTCTCAAAAACAAACAAACAAACAAACAAAAACCCCTGCAATTTTAAACAACCTCTTCCACATAGTTGTCTTTATCTATCCTTACCCCATCCTCCCATTAGCATTCTTATCCAGGAAACCTCTGCATGCGCAGATACCCGTTAGATTGATAGGAATAAAAATTGAAGAGCAGTCTGCAGCTGTTCCAGCTGACACCACGAGCTTCTGCCCTGGGCATGCAGAAACTTGTCACTTCCCTTTCCTCTGAGCACAGGGCCTGGCAGAGCCCCACAGTCCTGCGCCAGCCTGGCAATGAAACCACTCTCCATCTCTAGCACGTTCAGAAGGCGGCGAGTGCGCGCTCTGTCGTACAGCTCATTTCCACCCCCAGCACTAAGACCCAACGCTCCAATCTCACGCGTGTGTGAGTCTGGGAACAAAAGCTCGCTCTCTAGTGGAAGGCTCACGCAAAACAACGTGGAGGAGCCCCGAGGACGAACTTACTCAAATGCGAGTGACTGTCTGCACAGAATGGGCAGCAGATGGAATAAGCAGGACCCACTGCCATGCTTTGCAGAGTGGACCTCAGGTCACGCATACCCGGCGTGCGTCACCGGGCCCGTCACCTCGAGGAGGATGGCCACCACGACAAGGCCGGCCCCTGGCTCCTTTCACCGGCCAAACAGAACCGAAGGTTTCGCCCCAACCAGCAAATGTTAAGTGTGTTTCGAGGCCCTGGCTCTGGTGAGCTGTCATATGAAATGAATTACCCAGGCTCGGAGTCTGGATGTGTAAGAAACTGTGGCGGAGTCTCCATGGAACAGCCGCGCCCAGCCAGCCCGAACATTCGGGAAGCCTTTCCCGGGCAGACGCAGTGCAAGCGCATTTCTTGTTCCTGGGCTGTCCACGTGCCACCGCCACGCCGCAGTGCCCTGTCAACGGGAGACCGCCAAAGGACGGTTCGCAGCTCCACCAGCTCTAGGAACTCAAGATCTTTCTGGAAAACCCCCTAAACTTGGTATGCATGCAGGTATTTCAGAGCTCATCCGGCTCTAATTAGAACTCATACTTCCAGTCTGTGTTCGCCCAAACAATGTCGAGTCAAACCACAAGAAAATCTGTTATCACTCACACTGGTACATATTTTTCATACAACTGAAATATTATATAAAATCGTAAACTGTTAAATGGAAAAGTAAAAATTGAATGCAGACGCCGATTCCCATGCCGCCTTGGCCTCACCTTCCAGGAGATGTGAACCGCGGTCAGGCTGCACACGGAGGCCGCGAACCTCAGATCAAAGCTGCCCGCGCGGGGAGCAGAGGCGCCGCCCAGCCCACAACTTCCCCTCCCGCCAACGCATAAAATGCTATTTGTTGGAATGATGGTTTAAAGTGCTCTGTGCAATTAAGTTTTAAAAAGCAAAGGGGCCAGTTTCCGTCAATGTATATATGAAACTCCCGATAGATAAATTTAAAGTCCTTGGGTGTGTTTGGGGGAGGGGGAGAGTTAACAAGAGGAAAGTGCTGGAAAGGATCACTTTAAAAAGGTAAACCTGAGGTGCTTTCCCCCTTGTAATAGTAAAAAAAAAATCTTTATAGTTGGAAAACAGTCTATAGATAAAAAGATAGATACCAAAGGAAATGTATACTAATTCCATATTCACTTGTACCAGATTTGCATTTCACTTTCCTAAGAAGCCTACTCACTCCTTTTAAGTAATCATTGCAAATAGGGTGCAAACTGCCTTCACCTTGCTCTGTGTATTAGTGTTTTGAAAACATGTACTTGTGCCTTAGCTTGTTTGTGAAGCTCTTAGAAAATAAAAACATATTCCCGACCCTGATTCAAACCCAAGACACATACATAGTACATATTGTTCAGATTGGGAAAGTAGCATGTCCTTATTCCATTTGTAAAACAGCATTAGATGCATAGCCTCTGGATATTAACAAAGCAATGAGTACCATTCATTGACAATGAAGTATTATAAAATATAGGAAAAACAATAAATTCAGATTGCAGCAAAACCAAAAGAGGGTTCTGGGAGTACTTCTCAAAGATCAAGCCATTCATAGCCTGAGCACACAGAAAATTCTAGACTTCCAACTATCTACACCCTTGATTGAGAATATTCCTGGCTAAATAAAATGGACAGAGCAGGCTAAATTCAGCTGTAATGAACAAATCACAGTGCCGGGGACATAGTAAGCTCAGTAGCTGATAAAATCCTTTCGCTGTATGCAAACCTGAGGTGACCTGTGGGCTTGACAACAATGAGTAATTCAAGGTAAAGGTCAGGAAGCCACTCTCACTGCCCATTCTAAGCCACTGGCTTCCTCCTTTCATCTCCTTATTTTTTAGCAATTTTCATCCTTGCCCATCCTTTCAGCCTTTACAATAGTGGACACCTGGACTCTCGTGGTTTAGTTTTTAAGCTGAAATGTCACTGACTGCCATGAGAGATACAGAATGAAGCCTCCTGGTTAATGCAAGAAACTTAGACAAAATAAATTCCCCAAAGAGGAGTAGTCCTCTTGGCACATTCAGGACTAGAAGTTAGTCAGGCAAAAGAAAAATTTGTTTGTGGTGTCATAAAAGGGTACCTGCCTTGATGAAAGCATTTTCTTCCAACATAAAGCATGTGAGATGGTCACAGGAGGTCGTCACCTTTGTCTAGATGATTCCTGCAGTAGCCAACATGCTTCTGGCTCACTGTCGGCCAAACATTATGACGTAGGTCAATGGTTTATGCAACATGACATTATGTAAGTGGCATCAAGAGTTTGGGAATGGAGACAACTGACTCTTGGAAAGCCCAAATGGGGACCAAAGAACAGCCACCAGGTCTGAGGGAGAATGGGCCGAACCCAGCCTTGGTTTTGACAGGCATCACATCAAGGGAGCCACGTGGGGCGGCGCTGGCCAGTGCCATGTGGAGCCTGGGTCATCGGTACCACGGAGGTCAACTGGAGACAAGGTGGGGCTGGGAGCAAGTGCGGACAGGAGCCAGAATTCCTCCTTCCTCCCAAACTAAGCAGGCCTGGCCTCCAGGAAATAAATGCCAGAACCAGACTCTGAACTGTGAAATGATCACTGTGGGAACGAATGCCATTACGGAGCTCTTGCTTTCAAATGCATAACCTGTAGGAAGCCACGCTGCCTCCTAAAATAACCCTCCCACTCCAAGCCCCTTACAGTCTGCCTCTAAAAGAGGCTGGAAGCTCTTCCCTCTTTCCTCCTTTCCCTTTCCTTCCCCTCCTGTTGTTTTTTTCTCTCCCTCAAGGAATCCTCCTCCCTTGCCAGGGTAAATTCTCCACTCTTCCCTCGGGCAC